GTAAACAGTCCCACTTGCCTAGCCAGACTCCAAAATTGTTTATCTAATTTGGATTTTCTCTGCCTAAGATCATTAGATTTCCTAATAGTTAATTCTAGTTCTTTTTTCCGTATTTCTCCCCCTAAGTCAAAGCATAACATTGATGCCGCTGTTAAGGCTTCCTGGTCCTCTGACGACCATGCCTCATTCTTGGCGTTTTTGTTAGCTCTTTTGACTGATAATTTGTTCCTGGGATTCTCTGCTCCTTGCCGTTCTTTTCGGAGCTTTCTCAGTTGAATCACTTTTCTAACTGGCTTAGGCCTGGCCCCCCCGTAAGACGCGGTATTCGCCTCAACAATTGATCGTTGCAGCAGTTTACATTTCCCGTCTAGATCTAGATGATTCCACTCATGATCACCCAGACAAGAATCCATAAGACTCTTTGCTACACTTAAATCTCTATCAGATCTTAGAAACAGCTTATTATATACCCCTACTCCAGTTGAGCCTTGTACATCTGAACATCTGAAATCAATGGAACAGCTAATAAACATTATCTCTCCTTCTACTACACAAAACTCTTTCCTTCCTGCAGGATATAATGGAATAAAAATCATTGCTCTTACTGGGGTAGCTATCCTCCTAGTTATCAGGTGTGGTGAATGCTTATGGCTCAGGAAAGGAAACAAATAGCTAATGTTAAGAAACCTAGCAAGCTGGTTAATCAACCAATTGGAAAATATGGTGTCTTCTTTCCATCTTATTCAACAATCAGGACAACTAATATAATCTTATGATCAGATATGTATCTATTTAATGGAAATTAATAAATGATAAATTATATGCTTTGTGTCTCACTAAAATCAGGAAAAAAAGAAAAGAGAACTAAGGAAGAAATGGAATTAATGAAGGAGTAAGAAATATGACAATTTATGAAATCAGAGGATGTGAATACATTATAGTAGGATGAAAAAGGATTAGTCAAACTAAAAGAAGTAATAATATGCCAACAAAGTAATTAATCATAAACTAACACTACTAACACAACCTTTCTAACTTTCGCCATCTTAAAATGTCTTGAATCATTTCCTAAACACCTTAAATTCTTTTTTTCCCTTTTTTCTCCAAGAACTACATAAGAACTTAAAATTAAAATATTTCCTGCTTCACCTCCATTAGAAATATATAATTCTTTTATTATTTTTTTTTCATTTACTTATTATTTTATAAACACAATTACATGAAGCAAAAAAAAAACTTAAACGATAAACCATTCTAAAAAAATAAAGTTATTCCTTTTATCAGTTTGATGTATATAGATTTAAAACATATGACAGTTATTTTAATAATAATTAAAACTAATTCCTAACAGCTAAAGATGTCTTTTCTTCCATTTACACAATTCAAAATTTCTTATCTTATTTTACAAGAAGGTTGGGAGGAATATATCCTGGCCGGAGTGTTGTGTTTTTGTCAAGCGATAGACTAATGATGGGCACTGATGAACATGACCTTTGCACAGGCTGATCCAATTAAAGTGCAGAAAGGATAGCACTAGTAAGTAAGAAAAAGTTAAGTAGGAGAAGTTGAGAGAGAATTTTTTACGGAGCCAGAGAACACAGAGAACAAAAAAGAAAGGAAAGGATAGATGGAAGAGAAAAGACAAAAGAAACAAAATGAATTCTTAAAAGGGAAAAAAATTCCTTATTTCTTACTTTTAACTTTTTATGACTGACTGAGAAAAGGACAAAAGAGCAAAACTCAATTATGTTTGAAAATCCAGCTTTCTACAAGTCAATGGCAAATCAACGCTTCATGCAATTAACAAAAATCATATTATTAACCAAACCAAAAAGTTAAGTCTAAGGAAAAAAAGGAAGCAAGATCAGCCCGCGTAAAATAAGTGTTCACTATGGTTTATAGGGTTACCCATAGTCAAGTTTTTAAGAAAATGGCACAACACAAAACGTTGGGGTGTATGACTTAACTAATCTTGAGCAGAACAAAATAATAGAAAGACTTTGATAACAAACTGGAAATAGATTTATTGATATTTCGTTTTTATTTGTATGCGTGAGCTTGTGCCCACAACCCTTATCCAAAAATAAATTATTAAAGATAAAAAAAAATATTGAAAGTTTGGCAAGTTAGGATAAAAAATCGTTTTTTTTCTTCAAAATAAATTTCATGAAGTACCCAAAAAAGTTTTTTTTCCTAACTTGGGTCAAATTTCAATATATTTCGATTCTGTAAATTGATTTGAATTAAAAAATTCAGCTCGGATCTAATGATGCCCAATTTGAGAAGTTTCTCAAAATTTTCATTTTCACTTATTCTAGTGATTTTTTAACATTAGACCCCATTTGAGAGGCACATTTTTGAATTTTGTGAAAAATGTATTTTAAAACTATTCCTTAGAATTCCAGGGTGGAATGCTATTTTGCTTCTGTAAAATGATTTAAGTAAAATTTCACTAAATTTCACTCCCCTAGTATCCAATATCCATGTTTATTGAGACACCCTGTAATTAAATGTATCCAATAGCAATGTTCATTGGGACACCCTGTATTTACATGTATCCAATATCGATGTTTAGAATTTGACAACCAACCATTTCTCTTGGGCCTGCTCTATCTGTTTAGATATAATTGGATTCCGTAGTCGTAGCCGTACCTCAACCTGATCAAACAAACAATCAATCAATCAATCAATCAATCAAATAATCAATTAATCAAAAAATCAATGAATGAATAAATAAATAAAACCAATTATTCCATCAATCAGTTCCATTGAACAATGAATTAAATAAAATAGTCGATGAATCAATCAGTCTATAAGTCAATAATACACTCAATCAATCAATCAATTAGTCTAATATTTAATCAACCAATCGATCAACAAATATTCCTACCTTCCCTCCAACAGGTTTCCTTCCGTCATAAAGATCAAAACTATCATGGATCTCACATCGAGTCTCTGAACGATCAAACAGATAATTTAACGAAACTCAATTTTTCAGAAATGAAAAAATAAAGTTTACTATTAAATTCAGCAATAAAAAGCCTTTAATAATAAGAAACTAATTGCCTAAGGGATTACAAGAAAACATTTAGAATTGATAAAAACAGGGGTGTATTTTAATAGAGGAAGGGGAGAGGGGTGACTTCTGAAGATCTGAGGTTAAAAAATGAAAAATTCAGCGGAAAAATCCTAAAACACTACCTAACTTATGGGAATAACAAAACAAAATGGGGGGAGGGGGAGAGAGAAAAAATGCTTTAATAAGAAAATACACATCATTTTTGAATATTTATAATTTAAAAAAAATAAATAAATAAAAGTATATTTACCAAGTGTTGCAAGTTTAATATTTGCTGTACCAAGCAGAGTATCCGATCTTAGGAACCCACCCTTACTCCAAACCTACAGTACAGTACAGTACAGTACAGTACAGTAATGAATTACGATACAACCAAAACAAATAAAATAAAATAAAAAATGTAGTGGTTTGCCAACTGCTTCCAAACTTAAGATACAGTACAGTACTGTTACAAGTTAGTGCACAGCCAGAGCGAACCGTGAATGTAAGAAATAACATTAAATACAAAAGTTGATTTATTATATTATAATAAATGAATGAATAAATAGGTAAAACAGCTGACAAATGGCATATTGAAAGAATAAAAGACTAAATTTAGAACTGCCGTCTTTAAGTCTCATCATTTATGGGTATCGTATGTCTGTCTATTATTTAGATATCCGGTTATAACTCATGAACCCTTGGACCGATTTGGAGAACTCAGTAGAACAATTGGAATGTTTATCATCTTAAGGGACGGTAAAGTTAAAATGAAAGGGGGTATAGACTGAAACCTGAGAATCTCAGGAGTTGATTGAGACATATACGACATCTATCTGATGTTCCTGTCTCAAGACATTGACAATAAACTGTGTCAAAATTATACCAAAATGTATAATGTATATATGTAAGATTAACGTCCGTATCACATGACCAGAACTCCCTCCTATACAGTATACTGGTCACGTGATACAGACGGAAGCACGTGACAATAATACTGCACTGGGTTGGAGTACTGGTGATGTAGTCCGGACGTATAAATAATATTATCAATTATATCTATTAAAGTTTTAAATTATTAAATTCAAATAATAATAGAAGCAACCTTGAGTTTCTCACGCTCCTCTGGGATATCGTTGTTTTCAGATTGGTTCAGTATTTATTGAATATGATCTGTTCGATATTACGAATCTTATACAAAATCTTACATATATATGTTTTGGTATAATTTTGACACAGTTTTATATCAATTTCTCGAGACAGGAACTTCAGATAGAGGTCTTATGGGTCTCAATCAGCTCCTGAGATTCTCAGGTTTCAGCCTATACCCCCTTTCATTTTTCCTTTACAATCTTTAAATTGAGTGGGTTGAAAAGTCCAAAAAAAAGCTGGATTCCCAAGCAAAAAGTAAGTTTACCTCTAGTTTTAATGCAGCTCTTAAAGCTGGATTCCCAAGCAAAAAGTAAGTTTACCTCTAGTTTTAATGCAGCTCTTTTTACAACACGTTGAAACGTTTTATCCCTAGGGTTTACCACCAGCATGAACTGAAATAAGACGACATTTAATCCCTTGTATTTACCACCCGCATAAACTGAAATAAGACGACATTTAATCCCTTGTATTTACCACCAGCATAAACTGAAATAAGACTACATTTAATCCCTCGTATTTACCAACAGCATAAACTGAAATAAGACTACATTTAATCCCTCGTATTTACCAACAACATAAACTGAAATAAGACGACATTTAATCCCCTATTCATTTTATGTTTATGTTTTAATTATTTTCTGGACTCCTGGCGGAGTAAATAAATAAATAAATAAAAGATCAACCATCATTTCCTGGAAATCAAGGCCGAGTTAGTAAGAAAATTTTAGATTGTTGTCTTAATATTCAATGCTAGCTGAAGGGCCCGGTGTTGCCGATGAAAAAAATTTCGAATTTTTTTAGCCTATTACACCACTCCTCCACTCATGAGTGTCCAACAAAATTTCAGCCCTATCGGTTCCGTCGTTTGGCCGGCTATTCACAACATATATAGATATATACGAATGTCTTGGTTTATTATATAGAAAGAGGTTTACGAATATTTACTGCATCAAGACTAAAAGTAAAGGACATTTTCACTTTTTTTGTTTTTCATTTTTTTTTTAATTTTTGGACATTTTTTGTTTAGATGTTTTACTATTTTTCCCCTTTAGATTTGGCGAACAAGAAAATAAGTAAAATCATTTTAGAAAAAAAACTGTCTCAGCTTTTCAGTTGATTCTCTTTTTCAAACTAAAATGAGAAAATAGAAACTTCAATATTTCTTTCCATAGATTTGTATAAAAAAATTAATAATCGTTTCTTTGAATTATTCATGAAGACAAATTTAACAAAAATCTTACCTTAGAGTCGTAAGCTGGATTGTTGGTATCCTAAAATATTAAAAATTAGATACTCCTGGAGCTAAAAATAAAATGCCTTATTTATAGGATCTAGGTTGCATGTGACCCTCCATGCAAAGATAGCCATTAGACATGCCCGATGTTTTTTAAGTAGAAAAGTATTCTATTCGGATAATTTCTTCATTGTTTCCTATAAGCAAGAAATGTACGAGTCACTTTGAAAAGAAACCACAAATAAAATTGATATGAACAAAAACATGGATATCTTATTCATGCTTGATCAGATCTAAGGTTGACGTTGTAATTCGGACATTTTTAACTTTGCATGCCGGGTCGCTTCAAATTACGTTTACAGTCCCTTTAATTCGTCCTTGCCTTAATGACTGCGGTTTTATCGATGACTGGGGTCTCTCGCGGGAATGGAAATTCCCATTTTACATAAGTGTCCACATCCTTAGGATTCTAAATATAAATAATGACGTAAGAGTTGGGAACTCTTGTATTGTGAATATCGAGATCAATGCTTAATCTCGATCTTTTGATAATCTGCAGATTAATTTGATCTTTTTTCGATATCCCGCATGGTAATTGTACCCCAGGGGTTGAATGGAACTTTAATCAAGGGAAGAATAACTAAATTGAATATAAGAAAAGGTTTAGTTTTTTTAAAGATCCTCCAATCAAAAGTCCCCACATTGGATATCGAGATCAAGCGATCGGGATTATTATTATCCAACACAAAAGTTTCCAGCTAAGGTCAAACTTATTACTGGATATTACGGGAAAGACTTAGAAAAATGCTCCGAAGCAGAATTTCTTCTGGAGTGATTTATCGCGTCTTTTTTATTGAATTATGGTTAAATTTAATGTAAAAAGAAGTACAGTTAGCACAGTTAGTACAGTTAGAACAGTTAGCACAGTTAGTACAGTTAGCACAGTTAGCACAGTTAGTACAGTTAGTACAGTTAGTACAGTTAGTACAGTTAGTACAGTTAGTACGGTTAGCACAGTTAGTACAGTTAGTACAGTTAGTACAATTAGTACAGTTAGTACATTTACTAAAAACTTTAGGTAAAACCTTCCATTGAAGTTTTAAGATTAGCAAAAAGAAACATTGCGACAAAATTTAATTAAATTTTTTTTTAAAATGTACCTTAACAACGTAATTAATTCCGGCTATAATTGTGAGCTCTAGATCATTATCTGTTAACTCTGTAAAACTCACAATCCGACTACACTCACCAATTAATCAATTGTTAATTCAAATTAAGTAATAAACTTTTTTCTTAAAAAATCATCTGCCCACCTTTATCAAAACTTTTGGGAAAACACAAGATTATTATAGAAAAAAATTAATTAATGATAAGTTAATAATTATTTATTCATTAATTGTTAATTATTTAATTTAATAATTATTAATTAATTAGAAGATGATTAATTAATTGATTAGGTTCCTGAAAGCTCTGGTCTCGTAATGAAACTGAGGAACTACATCCCCTCGCTTGAACGCAAATCTAAAAATTATTGCAAAGTTGCAAAATTGCAAAAATTCAAAATTGCAAATTGCAAAATGGGATTACCGATGTTTTCTTTATCACAATTTAATGTTTACAAGACAAGATAAGATAAGGGAGGGGAAGGATCTGAAACCCCCCATCTTGGAGAGTCCAGACCACCATCGAAGCAAACAAAATTTAGGAAATATGAGAAAAACATCGTTAATCCCAGTTTTCTTAAAAATCACCCTCTAGAGATATCACATCATTTATGTATTTATATTTATTCATCATATATTTACAATACTCAAGTTTTTGCAGTTTTCTGCTTTTCAAATAAGATAATATTTTGTAAAAAACTCTTTAAACTCTAAATATTTTGTAAACAATCCCTTTAAACTCTGAATAAATTGTCATTACTCCCTTTAAACTCTATTTTGTAAACAGTCCCTTTAAACTCTGAATATTTTCATAATAATCCTTTTGAATACTGATCATTTTGTAAACAATTCCTTTAAACTCTAAATATTTGTTAACAATTCCTTAAAACTCTGAATATTTTGTTAACAATCCCTACTCTGAATATTTTGTATACAATCTCTTTAAACTTTGAATATTTTGTATACAATCTCTATAAACTCTGAACGATTTGTAAACAATCTCTTTAAACTCTGAATATTTTGTAAACAATTCCTTTAAACTCTGAATATTTTGTAAACAATTCCTTTAAACTCTGAATATTTTGTGAACAATTACTTTAAACTCTGAATATTTTGTAAACAATTCCTTTAAACTCTGAATATTTTGTAAACAATTCCTTTAAACTCTAAATATTTTGTAAAGAATCCCTTTAAACTCTGAATATTTTGTTAACAATCCCTTTAAACTCTGAATATTTTGTAAACAATTTCTTTAAACTCTGAATATTTTGTTAATACTCCCTTTAAACTGACCTGACAGCATCAAGATCCTTCTTAGAGTGCACTGCCATCTGTTCAAACTTATTTGCACTGGAGACCTCCCCAACCTCCTTGAAATAGGTCCTGTTCGACATACACATTTTCACCTAGTAGATAATACAGTTAAGGGACTACGTTTGCACTGGAGACCTCCCCAACCTCATTGAACTAGGTCCTATTTGACATACACATCTTAACCCAGTACAGTTAAGGGACTATTTTTGCACTGGAGACCTCCCCAACCTCCTTGAAATAGGTCCTATTTGACATACACATCTTAACCTAGTAAATAATACAGTTAAGGGACTATGTTTGCACTAGAGACCTCCCCTACCTCCTTGAAATAGGTTCTGTTTGACATACACATCTTAACCTAGTAGATAATACAGTTAAAGGACTATGTTTCCACTGTAGACCTCCCCAACTTCCTTGAAATAGGTCCTGTTCGACATACACATCTTAACCTAGTAGATAACACATCTCAACTTAGAAGATAATACAGTGAAGGGACTACATTTGAACTGGAGACCTCCCCAACCTCCTTGAAACAGGTTCTGTTCGACATACACATCTTAACCTAGTAGATAATACAGTTAAAGGACTATGTTTCCACTAGAGACCTCTCCTACCTCCTTGAAATAGGTCCTGTTTGACATACACATCTTAACCTAGTAAATATTACAGTGAAGGGACTATGTTTGCACTGGAGACCTCCCAAACCTCCTTGAAATAGGTTCTGTTCGACATACACATCTTAACCTAGTAGATAATACAGTTAAGGGACTATGTTTGTACTGGAGACTTCCAAACCCTCCTTGAAATAGGTCCTGTTTGACATATACATCTTCACCTAGTAGATAATTCATTTATTCTTAAAGATTCCAAGAATCTATACAAAAACAACAAAAAAATACCTTCTTTCATACTTAATCATTAAAAGAATTAGTTTTGTCATTATTATTATTAAAAAACAACCGTTTTATTCAATGAAGTCCTGTCCACCATGCTTATCTATGGATAATGCTATACTACCCCGAAAGGAGACTTTTTTCTGAGCAGTCTGCCTGGAACAGCCCAATTTCTGGGACTCTTCAAATTATAACAATAGTAAAACATCAGGTATATCTTTGGAAATTTAAAATATTCTTATTTTAATTGTACACGAGTCTTGCAGAAAGATCAGCAACAAAAAGCTATGCTAATTAGAGGGAAGATGGATGCAAAGTGCACTGTAAACCAAGTACAGGGTGTCCCATGAAAAATGACAGTAGCAAGACGTCTTGAAGGTGGTCTTTGATCTTAGAATTTGCGACATTTAAACATGAACCTTATTTAAGATGTAGAATTCTAGAATTAATAATTTCTTGGCATTTCCAAAATGAAGTCTGCCTTTTTTTTGCTTTCAATATTACCGGAGATATGAAGAATTTTGTTCAGGTTTTGACAATTTTGGTTTAATTTATTAAATTGAAATCTGAAGGAAATTCTGAATACCTCCAGTAATGTTTGTTATACAACTCTTTATTTATAAGCACTAAATAGATATTTTAATTTCTATAGTACACATTATAACGTAAAAATGTCTCTGAACTTCACTAAAATCCGTGACCAGCGGATATTCTCTTCATGTTTCTGGAGGGACCACCACTTCCTGGGTATAGGCAGTAATTTAAGTGAAATGAGTTCTTGATTTGGGATAGACAGCTGAGTTCATAGACTTGGTGTAGTTGTTTCTTGCTCACTGCAAGAGACTGTTATCATCGGCTAGATTCCAGTTCATGCATGCTTTCAGTAGCTGACTTCCTCTGAAGTTCTTATCCATCACTCTCTGAAGAAATCTTAACTTGCTGAGCTTTATAAGCAGTCTGATTGGTTTCCAGCCTAGCTCAACCTGGACTACTGCTTTTGCTGTAGATTGAGGTACACCTAATAGGGCTTTCCCTACTTGATTTTGTAGCACCTCTGACTCCTCCACTACCGACTTAAAAATTGGAATTGCATCCATTGCATATAGGATTCCCAGGATTGCAATGTTTAGCCAGACTGCTGAAGCTGATGATATATTATCTAGAAGCTGATGAGAGGTTCTGAGGATCACATTCTTATACATCTTTGCCCTGTTTACCATATCCAGTCCTTTCCTATGTGAAGTGTGCCAGGAAGACAAGTATTGTTGAATTCCAAGATATTTATAGTTTGTGACATGACCTACAACTTCTCCTTTCAGTATATCGGAATCCTGGATTGAGCATAATAACTCCGCTAACAACAAGATGACCTTTGTTTTGCCTATTGATATTCTCATTTTGAAGTTCATACACCATGTTTCCAGAATGATTTTCAATTCTTCTAAAGATTTTGGGGAATTTGAGATCAGGATAATATCATCCACAAATAACAGAATATTTACTAACTCTCCAGATTCCAGTCTGACTCCTACTCCACTGGCTCTCATACTAGAGCTCAACACTGACAAATAGATTATGAAGAGGATGCTGCTTAGGTTGCAGCTTTGACTGAGGCCACATTTCTGAAATTGTTTCCTAGTTCTCTTGCCCAATGCTGCTGTTGATATATTATCCAAAAAATTGTAGCTCGATAAAAAGTTAATGAACTAATTATTAATTACATTGAGATGCTTGAGTTTGGCTAGGAGTACGTCTATGTCCACCCCATCATACGCCACTTTTAGATCAACAAATAGGAAATGTGATAGTTTTTTGCTTATTTTTGTTTATCTCTAGGATTGAATTGAGGATGAATATATTATCGCTACATGTTCTTGACTACCTGAAACCTAGTGCTTCATTATAAATAATAGTTCATTATACATTTTAGAAATATTACATGATGGGTTTCTCCATCAAAGTCCAGGGAGGAACAAGATTAATTCTGACAAAACTCAAAAACATAAACCATTACATCCTGCATACATTTTATATCTCCGAAGTAGATATCGGGTCCCAGTTCATCCTTGATTTCCATGGAAACAATGTGGTCAATTTTGACCATCCACAACAGGCGACACAGGAGATGGCTGACTAGGCCTATGGGCTTGTCATTGTCATCTGAAGTAAAAGATTGGCGGTGTATATATACTATGCTGTAACAACAGAGCAAAACTGGAATGTCTGACAACTTCTTCTAATCCTTGAGTTCCTTAACAAGAAGTCTGATGGGATTCTCGGTTGTTTGTATAAGTGTAGGTTCTCCAGCAGTTTAATATCTTGGATAGATTATAGAGGTTGCCCTGGTATGCCAGCACTTTCTACAGGACAGATCTGAACCTGACTCATAAAACTGCTCATAATAGCATTGAATTAGACCTATATGCAACTTCTTACTTCTCCAAAATCTAGAGTATTCTCAGTGTGTTGAGAGACTGGTGAGGTGCTCCTTCAGATTTTTGGTTTCATCTTAGGCACAAGCCAGAAAAAATCTGTCCTGGGAGAGAGAGGATAGAGGAGATTCTTTTACTAGTTTCATAATTATTTCACTGTTAACAAGAAAGGGTTCATACATATCTTTTAAAGTTTCACAAGCAACACTATCTACAGTTTCATCAATGATCCAGGAGAAGTAGAACTCACTAGTAAATGAACCATTTCTAAATCTCTTTAAACAAATACTGTTCACAATATCAGAGAGCTCCACATTTCTAAATTGGACAAGTCTGATCAAACTTGAGTCACATGATAGAGGTGAGAATGTATCATTCATGGAGATCTACTGACAGTCAACCTTTACTTCACTGCCATACTCAGAATGGGTAGCTCAAAGGTGAAAGGAAGCAGGGTTGATGGCAAACAAAGGTGCTAGATACTGACAGACATCTTTATCCATATGGGCCTTGATGATGTCAAACTGAGAAACCTCTACCTTGTTTGTTTCAACCAATCTATGAGTATTGTTGCAGAACACTCCATTAACAACACTAAGAGTAAACTTTATATCTCTTTTAGGCTGCTTTAAATACCTCTCCTGTAGATGTGTAGGAATAATGAATTCAGGAGAGAGTAAATAAGCATAGTTGCAAGGGGTTGATCCTCTTCACCACCAGTTCTCAAATGCCTCTAGAACTGTTTCCTGACTACATTTTTTTTATTTTTTTAATCATCAAGCTTAATTTAGTTAGATCCAGGTTTAGTAGTGTGGTTTATTCAGCTTAAAAGTATGCACAACGACTGCTGAGAGTTTGAAGCAGGGAGAATTCTGACTGAATGTTTTAGAGGATAGTTTCTTTACAAGTTCAGAGTTAAGTTCTGCTGGGAGCTGTACAGTTTAGATGTTTTGTTTACTGGTGTACAGACATGGTTAATGGGGAAGATTAGATTGGATGAGAGATTATTGAAGGTTGAGTTGATCTCCTGCTCTAGATAAGTATCTTGACTGGGGTTATTGTATATGAACAATTCTTTTCACCCATCTTTTCTAGTTGAATACACCAACCTTCTTGTTCCCTCCAGGGGAGCATTCTGCAGAGAATCTTCAAGTAAGGAAAAGATCTCCAGGAGGAACTATGAACTATCTCCCTCTTACTCACATTTTACTTCCAGACCTCACAGAAGTTTGTCATCCACCTAGTATTCTCATCCTCTCAACCTACTCCAGAATAGCTTTTATAATCAGCTGTAATGCTACAAGCTTGTCTCCATTAAAGGAACACTTGGTGGGAAGAGATAAAACTATAAAAAGGTAACTCTGAAATATATGCCAGAAGTGTAAAATTGAGCTGAGGTAGAAAACATTATCCAGGGTTTGAATACCCCCAGTAAGACTTAACTTACACTGAACTTTATTCTTCTTTGTGTCAGGATTATATAGGGTTTCTATTCACAAAACTTGTGCGCAATTTTTGCAGAACAAAACGCAAAATTTTTGTTTCTTTGCACATCAGTTTTGGGCGAAAAAACAACAATTTGCTCAATCCTTCGAAAAAGTCATTTCGCGCAAAATTGCCCTATTCCGCTCTAGCAAAACTGAAATTTTGCACAATTCCGCAATTTCGTAAAAATCAAACGGTTGGTGACGGTGTGTGTTTCTTAGAATTCAATTCTTCCAGTGCTGGAAGGTTTTGTACCAAGATCCGAAACAGATTGTCGAGTAAAAGTCTCGACAACTTTAGTTTTGGACATGCATAGTGGATTTTTCAGGCATTGGTTACTTTCTTGCATTATTCTATATGAGATTAAAAAAGATTTCAGAAGTTTGATTAAAAAGAATTAAGAATATAATTCATATTTGATTAGGCAAAGCTTTTAAGGGTCACTTGAAATTATTTAATACGACTAAAATTTTGCCAAGTTTCACACTCTCTAATTTCTATTTTATTAATTTTGGTCCCTTAATTTAAACTTTTTGTAACTGGAAGTAACCAATTGAGTGTAGTATAATCGTTATCATACTCGTATGTTAATATTTTTTTTATGTATGGAATAAATCTTCGGTTGTTTAATTCTAAGCTTAGAATATCAATTTTTGACAATTTGCCTAAAAAGTTACATTTTGCGTAAAACTTGCGGTTTTGCGCATAACTAAAATTTCGTTTCATGCGCAACTTTTGCAAAAAATATTTCCGGTTTTGCGCAAAATAAATAGCGCAAAACTCATTGTGTTTGAACCGCAAAAATAGCGCAAATTTTGCGCAAAAGATTTAGCCATTTCGTGGAAACCCTAGGATTATATTTCACTGTTTCCAACATACTTGACTCCACACAAACTTCATTAGAGCTCTTTCTCTTCTTATCCATCTTAAAAACTAAGATAAAATAAAAATTCTTAAACACAATTGAAATGATACACAAAGAACCTCTTAACTTAAAAACTGAATCTTGTTAAGCACCAAGTGACCAAATCTCCGGTAATATTGAAAGCACAAAAATGGCAGACCACACTATGAAAATGCCAGGATTAGAGAAATTAAGTGATCATTGTTTTCAAGAATTATAAATGTATAAGAGGGGATTGGACCTTGATAGTCCTTGAAGAGTGGAAATTAGCAACCGCTCAGCTTTAAACAGGTAAGATCGGGTGAAGCTAGTGATAGGCTGTTGCAGGGTACGTGACTATGATCATGCCTTTCCTCCAGGTTGTACCCCTCCTCGTAGTAGGTGGCCAGGTTGGTTCAGGACTTTTCTTACCGGTACGAGTCGGATAGTCCTGTAGGCGGTCTGGGTTGCCCAAGATGGGGCTTCTTGCAGATCTCATCTCACATAATCACATAATCACCAATTAATGCCACAAATTATTTTTAAGACCAACAGTAACAATTCAAATCGTCTCTCAACTGTCATATTTGATGGGGACAAACATATAATTAAACTTTATTTACCTGGGCAATAAGATCCTGTTCAAGTTTACTAAACATTTCTTCTCTATCTCCAGTAACCTGATCAAATATGTAGATTAACCAATGAATTAATCAACCAATCAACAAATTCAAGTTCACTTAACATTTCCTCTTAATCTCCAGTAATATAATCAAATATAATTTGCTTAAATCAATCAATCAATCAATGATATTTGTTTTTATCTTTTATCTTTTTTGAACTTAAACTTTAGACAAAAAGTTGTCATTTTTCTGATCTTTGAAAACAAATTCTGCAGATTATAGAATGTTAAATATTCAAACACGTAAATATAAGAGGCTTTAGGTCCTTGAAGAACAAAAAACCTATTTATCTTTTAAGAAATATACTATATTCTATACCTGACAATCCTCTTTGCTGAGAATCTCAAAATCCATATTTGTTTTCACCTAGAACAACAATAATGTTTAAGCAAAATTTAAATAAAGATGATTAAGACAAAGTGGACTCTAAGGGACTACAAGCTTAATTTCTAGTTGCACTCATTGCAAAGCTTTGACTGATCATTGAGGCCAGAGAACTTGGTGTGTTTATTTCTCAATTAGTGTTAGAATTGCCATAAAACCAGAGTGTACATACAATGTGAACTCAACACAGCTGATGCTACAAGTATAACTCAAAAACTCATCAAACATCTATGTCAACCATTAACATATATGAACACCACAAACCTCTCTTTCATGTTTTAATTGACCAACATGTCATACAAATACATTTCTAGCTTATTAATTTTTAAATAAAAACCAATTCTTCCATGGTGTCTTTGCAGGCCAATATCTAATTCTCAATTCAGAGACATTGGTAAGGAATTAGGTAAAACTGGGATTAAATAACAAAAGAAAAGTGTTTCAACTAAACATGCCCAGTTAAACTAATTATCTAGAGGCTAAAATCCATAACTGTACCTATTCCAAATAATTTCCATTATCAGGGTTACCCAGTAAGGATGAAAAGTCACTTATATAGAGAAACCACAGTTGCAAATTATCAGTTTTCAAAATTGTAACCATGGATATCTAATTCATACTTTGCTTTTATGGGTACTGCTGTGAATCTACACTCAATAAATGGAAGGTCACATGAAATTACATTTACAGACTCTTTAAAAAGTCCCTTTTTACTTCCTCCTTCCGTAAATGAAATAAATGACTTCACATCTAGGATACAACACTAAAACCATGCTGATTGTTGCTGTGCTGTGAAATTACGAGAAAAGACGACATTGTTTCGACACTAAAACAGGGGACTATATATTTTATTTTATTTTCCTCCAAAATAATTTGTTTCTCCATAATGTTGGGAAGAATACAAAGTTAATTTTCTGCAAGTTGATTTTGATATCTTTCTATCTTCTGCAACTAAATGTGACTTTAAAAAAAAGAGCTTCTGTTTTGTTTATTCAAAAGTTATAATCTCCCTGATTTAAGTCAGTATCGTTTTTAATAGAAAAGCTTTGATTTAGGTCTGTTTCGATCTTAATTATAAATTCCCAGCTCTGATGTAAGTTAATTTTGTAAATCAAGATATATCAGTTCTTAATTAAGCCAGTTCCGTCCATCTATAAATTCCCAACTTTTAATTTAAAGGGACTGTAAAGGAAAAATGACAGGGGGTATAGAATGAAACCTGAGAGTCTCAGGCGTTGAACGCTACATATAAGACATCTATCTGATGTTTCTTGTCTCGAGAAATTGATATAAAACTGTGTCAAATTTATAGGAAAATTCATAAATATGCAATTCAAATTCTTCCGTTAAAAAATGACCATCTCTGCAGATAAATTTCTATTTTTATTCTTGTCACCATCACACTTTTCATTGATTCCGACCTATTTATTGTTGTGCTTAGCGCTGGTGATAACAACATCTAGAAAAGTGCTAGTCCGAGTAGAAAATTTTGATAGGCCTGCAAAGGTCTGGTGGGGGTAATCAAATCAAATCAAATCATGAGTGTAAGGGAAAGCTTTAGGCTCCATTCTACAGCCTGGAGTTTCAAGTCCTGCCTGATTAACAATATTTCTGCAAATTTTGAACCAAAAAAAAAGGGCGGGTTTATGATTTTAACACCACTCCTGTGCACGCCCATGTAAATTCTTCTACAAGCTTTTTAACCTTGTTAAACTTTCTACAGCACAGAATGTTGGTAATTGAAAGGGAGGGACGGGTCAAATTAAATATTTCATTTTCCAGATTTATTTCCTAAAATATGAGTTTAAAATGGCGGTCCAAAACTGTCTGTATGTTTGTCATACCTGCATCTGAGGTGGTACAGGGAGTGTGGTCATGTCTACAGGTAGTCCCGCCTTGCTTACCTCTGCACATTTAGTTCAATAATTCACCACTAGATGTAGTGTAAAAACAACAAAAATTTAATTTAGTTGAATAATTCACCACTATTGGCTTCAAAAAAGAACAAAAATATGATTTAGTTCAATATTTCACCAGTATAGGTCTCAATAAAGAACACAAATTGGATTCAGTTAAATATATTACCAATATTGACTAAAAAAAAAAAAATAGGATTTAGTTCAATATTTCACCAGTATAGATCTCAATAGAGAACACAAATTGGATTCAGTTTAATATTTCACCAATTCTATTAGAGGTCACGATAAAGAATTTAAAAATTGGGTTTAGTTCAATATTTCACCACTAGAGTTCTCAATAAAAAACAAAAATAGGATTTTGTTCTATATTTCACTATTAGAGCTCTCAATTAATAACAAAAATAGGATTTAGTTCAATATTTCACTATTAGAGTTCTCAATAAAGAACAAAAATAGGATTTAGTACAAAATTTCACTATTAGAGTTCTCAATTAATAACAAAAATAGGATTTAGTTCAATATTTCACCATTAGAGTTCTCAATAAAAAAACAAAAATAGGATTTAGTACAATATTTCACTATTAGAGTTCTCAATAAAGAACAAAAATAGGATTTGGTACAATATTTCACCATCAGAGTTTTCAATAAAGAACAAAAAATGGATTTAGTTCAATGTTTCACCATTAGAGTTCTCAATTAAGAACAAAAATAGGATTTAGTTCAATATTTCACCATTAGAGTTCTCAATAAAGAACAAAAAATGGATTTAGTTCAATGTTTCACCATTAGAGTTCTCATGAAGAACAAAAGTAGGATTTAGTTCAATATTTCCCCACTAGAGTTCTCAATAAAGAACAAAAAAAGGATTTAGTTCAATATTTCCCCACTAGAGTTCTCAATAAAGAACAAAAAAAGGATTTAGTTCAATATTTCCCATTAAAGTTCTCAATAAATAAAGAACAAAAAATGGATTTAGTTCAATGTTTCACCATTAGAGTTCTCAATAAAGAACAAAAATAGGATTTAGTTCAATATTTCACCATTAGAGTTCTCAATAAAGAACAAAAATAGGATTTAGTACAATATTTCACTATTAGAGTTCTCAATAGAGAACAAAAATAGGATTTAGTACAATATTTCACCATTAGAGTTCTCAATAAAGAACAAAAAAAGGATTTAATTCAATATTTCACTATTAGAGTTCTCAATAAATAACAAAAATAGGATTTAGTTCAATGATTCACCATTAGAGGTCTCAATAAAAAAAAAACATTGTTTAGATTAATATGTGTTCAACGGTACCGTTGTGAATCAGACACACCACTCTAAAAAAGTAGGGTCTCATAAAATCATGCTGAAAGTACCTAAATGTGTACAACTTCAAAAAATTGAATCAAATTAAATGTCAACATTTGATAATAAAACCAAATGTTCCTATGAGTTTATTTATACTAAGAGCTTGTTTCAGGTATTCCCGGGCCATATCAGTCTGACCCTGCTGCTTAGCCTGAAAAAAAACCATTTGAAAAAACAACTATTTTTTTAAATAGATTTAACTTTTTTTTAAATGGAAATTGTAAAGCTTGAAATTGAAATTGAAATGAAATAAAAAATCTCGACAACTTTTTCTTCTTCACATTTTTAAAAGACAATATGAAGTTTAAAATTGAATTAACCTACAGAGATAACCAGTAGAGAGTGGACTGAAAGTTGTATTTTTAACTATAACAAATTCAGAAATATAATGCTGATTCAAAAAACGGAACAAAGACAATCTATTTAGGTTTACTATGACGTTTCTGTCTTCTCTTTCCTTGTAAAGCAGATTCTTTCTCTCAAACATACCTACAGCTGCTCCCTACCTGTGCAGCAGCTTCTTTAAACAGCTTATTTCTTTTTAACAACCCTACAGCTACAGCTAATCCCTACCTGTGCAGCAGCTTCTTTCAGCAGCTTCTTTAAACAGCTTATTTCTTTTTAACAACCCTACAGCCGCTCCCTACCTGTAAAGCAGCTTCTTTAAACAACTTCTGCCGCTTCTCCAACCCCATCAGCTGCTTCTCCTGCAGGGACATCATGGAGGTCTGTCTACTTACTTTTCCACCTGGAGAAACATAGATAACAATCTAGGAATACTTACTTTTCCAACTTTGGAAACTTAGTTAAACCACCTGGGGAAACAAAACTTTGTTAAACCACCTGGGGAAACTTAGTTAAATTAACCTGGGGAAATTAGTTATTCCACCTGGGGACACATAGGTTAGACCACCTGGGAAACTTAATAATACCATCTTGGGAAACTTTGTAAAATCTTCTTGGGAAACTTAGTTATACCACCCGGGGAAAACTTAGTTGAACCACCTGGGGAAACTTAATTAAACCACCCACGAAAACTTAATTAAACCACCCACGAAAACTTAATTATACCACTCGGGGAAACCTATTTAAACCCCCTGGGAAAACTTAATTATACTAATCCGTTCCAACCCTGTGCCAAATCATTTAAAATAGAGCTCAACACACATTTGACAATAAAAACCAAACATCTGTTATCATCATTATAGACTTTTTAAATTTATTAAATTTACTGACTTTATCAAGCAGTAAAAAAAGTAGATTTTTCTTAGATGTGACTCAATTGGGAGTTATTCTTATTCCTGTTTTCTTAGTACAGTGATAACCAGAAAACTGTGAAATAAGCAATCATTAAGCGTATTTGATGCTGTCACAAAGCAAATAAATTTAAATCAATTATTTAGTTAAATTGTTCTGTTTACACTGCACAATTGCGGTTTCCATGTTCATTGTTCATTGGATCATTGAAAGTCATAACTTGAGTTTTGAAGTTGTCATCCTATTCCAGGAATTTCTGGTTTTCACCGTAGGATTTGATTTAAGATTTGAAAGAGATAACATGTAAGTTAACATTAGGAAAAGTAATTTCCGAAGAAAATAATTAAATAGGCAATCAATCATTATTAAGTAAAAATCCAGTTTAATTAACTAATAAAACTACCAAATAATGAAAATCACAAATACAGAAAAACACGCATCTACAATCTGAGGCCCTCAATTTAATAGTTTGAAAAAATATAGCCTCAAGACTAAGCTTCCATTGAGACTAAAATAAGAATAAAGCTTTTTCTTTTATCTAATTTGAAGCTATCAAATCACTTTGACATAACTCATCAATTTGGATCTAGCTTGAAACTTGAACCGGGCTGCAAGCTTAATTTTAAGTGACCCTTCATGCAAAGATGGCAATGTCCGATTCACAATGATACTCTTAAAACCTTCAACTGATCAGATATTTGGAAGATACCAGTCGTTTTGTCTGACTCGAAAGTTTTTTTATGTCCGCTTCTCCACTGCTTCTTATAAACAAGAAATGCGCAAATTACTTATGCAGAGAACCCACAAATGAAAATAAACATTTCAAAGAAACAAACACATTGATAACTAGTTCACATGATCAGTGTAAGATCTCTAAGGATCTAAATGTCGTCTTGTTCAGGGTATCTCCAAACCAAACAAAAGTCAATATCTTCCAAAATATTGTTCTGATAAAGTTTTTAAGCGTACTATTGTAAATCGGGCATTGTAAGCAAGGTTACTTGAATTTACGCTTACAGTTACTTTAAGAATCATCTTAAAAATTTCAAAAAGAAAGATTTTAAAAGTTTAAGATATTGTAAAGTTGGATCCGGATCCATTTTCCCACAGAACGTGTCCGCATTAATATCCAGTACCTGGATGGTTTGTGAGGGGTATAGGAGCATATCCTGGTGGATCAGGCAGCTCTTCTCTGTTTCAATCAATCAATCAAATTAATTATTCTTGCTCTATATAGTTGACTAACAAAATCGTTTACAAATTTGAATACTCAAATATATGGTTGCAAAGATACATTTAAGTTAACACTCTATAAATAGCAAATAGATGAGCAGGTTCTCTATTATGATAATAATTAATAGCCTGTGAAAAAGGAAACTCACTAATAATTTAGCGCCTTTTGTTACACATGATTTCAGAGTTTTCGAAAATAAACGAAAGATAATCATTTTTTATTAGGACTCGCTGCATTTCCAGTTGGAAGTTTCCCATTGGTCGGAAACTGCTCCACTATGAGAGAGAGTTTACTATTGGCCCGTCTAAGCCGAGATCTACCTGAGAAATAAAACCCGACTCATTCCATACAAAGAGCTTGAGTAGTGAACAACAATGTTATCAGTTCTTGAATAGAGTCGTTTCTCATGTTTAACTTTTCAGACTCTCGCAATGGTTTGATTAGACTAGATCCTTTGTATATATTTCATCTTTTAGGACGCCAACATATGTAGGTACGACCTTTGGTTTGGGTTCTATTTTTGAATTTCCCGCCTGCGCATTAAAAGGCGTATGCCCCGTCACATTTCGTAAACTTCATTAGAGTTTGTGTCATTTTGGAATCCTAACTTTTAGTTTTAACATTTATATTTATCTAAAACTGTATAAGAAAATCCTAATATTCTTTTTCTTATACAGATTTGATCCATTGAAACGTGTTCCAGAAAATTAAGAATGGATTACGTACTTCAAGATTCTTGATTCGCGGGATACAAAGAATGGTTACACGAAAAATGGAATCTAGGTAAATAAAAGGGATTCTTTAAGTATACGAATTTGGTTTTATTTCCACCGATTCGCGCTTAACACCTTTTTACTATTTAATTATAGTTTTATTAAATGATTTTCTGTTTGATTACTTATTAAATTGCTTGATTGATTGATTAATTGATTTCCTTGGAATAGGTCGCCCAGCAGCTAAAAGTTTCAATGCCTCTTGATACTGCTTCACAATACGACCCATTCTTCTAGCCTAGTAGGTCATATTATTAGAGATTAGATAAATTTGGAATCTTTAAAATAAGGATGAAAGAAGTAGACTAACTTTTTAAATGTTTCCATCCGCCCTAGCTCTATTTTCCTCCGCCCTGTATTTTCAAAGACCTACCTTTGAACTGTTGTCCTCCGCCTTAGCTTTATTCTCCATCCGCCCTGTATTTATATTAGACCAACCTTTGAACTGTAAGCTCTATATTCCTCCGCCCTGCATTTATTCTAAACCAACCTCTGAGCTGTTTACCTCCGCCTTAGTTATAGTTTCCTCCGCCCTGTTTTATGTAAAACTAACCTTTGAACTGTTTCCCCCCGCCTTAGATCTAGTTTCCTCCGCCCTGTATTTATGTTAAGCCAACCTTTGAACTGTTTCCCTCCGCCCTAGCTTTATTCTCCTACCCCCTAAATTTATATTAGACCAACCTTTGAACTGTTTCCCTCCGCCTTAGCTTTATTCTCCTCCGACTTGTATTTATGTTAAACCAACCTTTGAAATGTTTCCCTCCTTAGCTCTAGTAGCTTCCGCCCTGTATTTATGTTAAACCAACCTTAGAACTGTTTCCCTCCGCCTTAGCTTTATTCTCCTCCGACTTGTATTCAGATTAGACCAACCTTTGAAATGTTTCCCTCCTTAGCTCTAGTAGCTTCCGCCCTGTATTTATGTTAAACCAACCTTAGAACTGTTTCCCTCCGCCTTAGCTTTATTCTCCTCCGACTTGTATTCAGATTAGACCAACCTTTGAACTGTTTCCCTCCGCCTTAGCTCTAGTTTCCTCCGCCTTGTATATATCCAACCTCTGCTCCAGAGACTCTTTTATACTAAACCAAAAAAGGTAAAATAATTAACACAAAAAGAAAAAATAGCTATAAAAACAGCTATAAAATTAGCTATATAAAAACAACTTAAGGATGAGACTTTATTGACGATCTGCTGAAACTCTTCAAATATAAGAGCTGAAAAGTTATCTTACATACAGACTTTTATGGTGTATCAATGTGTTTTACAGACAAAATTGCATGGGAATAAAGAAGTCTGAAGTTTCATCTTTTGAGGGTAATCCAAAATTTATTTTTTTCTTTGTAAAAATAGTTCCAAAATTCACCTGAGTGATATTATTAGATGATTGCTGAACAACTCCTACTTCTACTCCTCCACCGGCTCCCTGTCCTACTCCAACTACTCCACTTCCACCTCCACTAGCAGCCTGGACACCTGCACCATCACTTTCAAGAACCAATCCTGAACATTCAAATATGCAATTCCGATTTTGTTTGACAAACACAGATTTAGTTGAAACCAATAAATTTTTGACATTTTTGAGAAAAACATTTAAATTCTAAATTCTGTGCTGATGCTGATGATCATCCAAAACTCTTTGTGTGAATATTGAATAAAGAAGGTTTTAGTTCCATATTTTCTGAATTTAATTGTTAAAAAATGAATTAAAATCGCGTTTCTTTTAGAAAACTATTTCTAGTGACTAATTTTTGAGATACCTGTCTGTACAGTGTACATAGTACTGTACCTGGTAAGTTGCTTATATCAACACTAGCATCTGACTGTAGTTGTACAATCAGCTGATCACAGTACTTTATCCGTCGCATGTACTCAATAGCTGAGTTCTAAGCAGACATGTTGGAATAAAAATCAACTACAGAATTACACACAAAGAATAAAGCTTAAAGGGATTGTAAGCGTAATTTCAAATAACCCTACATGCGAATATGGCAATTCAAGATTGGCAACAGTACCCCTGAAAGCTTTGTCAAATTTTGATCAAAATATGAATTAGAACTCCATGATTCAATTTACTTTGCGGTTTCTCTGCAAAAGTGACTTGCGCATCTTTTGCTTATAAGAAACTATCAGAGTTAAACACTTTTTGATTCAGAAAAACAACATTTTAATCATGATCAAGGTTTTAAGGGTACCGTTGTAAATCGGGCCCGGAGGGTTTCTTGAAATTACGCTTACAGTCCCTTTAAGAAAAGGGTCAAAGTATTACGTCAACTTCGATAATTTCAAAACATGATTCCTTCCTTGTCTCCATTATTTTTAGCCGCCATGGCCAAGGCCTTCAGCTCTTTCCGCCGATCTTCTACTATCGATGCTTGTGATGGCGGGATGGACGGAAAAGCCTCCTCAAGAGGCGGAGTTATTTTCCGAGGCGGGGGCGGAGGGGCTCGCCGGAGGACAGGTTCCTCTGGATTAGAAGCAGGGGGTAGGGCTGGTACAGACTCTTCTATACAAACAGTGTAGATATTATCCTTAGGTTTAAGCAGGGGGTAGGGCTGGTACAGACTCTTCTATACAAACAGATTAATCCGGCCCACCATCCAAACACGGATTAATGTTTTCTGAAGGGATTAACAATACACAAGGGTTGAGCTCAGATCTATGCTACCTGGTTCTCTTCTCCGGCCCACGCTAATCTGAGGAGGAATATCGTCTTCACTATAAAACAAAAACTTATTATAATGTACTGATTCTTATATATTTAATGGGTAAATGGTAAATATAAGAAATTGTTTATTTCTGTATTTAACGTCACATTTTATTTCTTAAACTTGATGAACTTAGATCAAAAAGAAATTGTTCATATATATGCAATCAATCAACTAATTAATCAATCATTCAGCCAATCTCTCAATTAACCAATCAATCTCTCTATTAAGTTATTAACCAATCAATCAGTCAATTAATCAATCATTCAATCAATCAAATCAGTCAATTAACAAAAAAATCAACAAATCGGCCATCAATCAATTAACCAATCAATTTCCCCTTTCAACAGGATTTACCTGACCGGTTGACCAGCACGAACAGCCCGCTCCAACTCCTGAAGAGTTTTTGTGCCCCGGTTAAACCTACGGGCCTGAACCACAAATATTCAAATTACCATTCTTGTCTTGTAGATATTTCATAGTCAATCAAACGAAATGTTTGAATTTAAGATCTTAAAAAAATTGACAATTTACTAATTTTCTTGGGAAAATAATCTGAAATCATATTTTTGGCCTTGACACCATTTAAGAAGATATTTATAAAAAAAATCTGAAAGAAAAAAAATTCAAATATTTTCCTTGCTAGTCTCTCCATTGTAGTTTGCTATATTCTCGGCCTCACGGTAGATCTGTATTCGGCTCTAGAACAGCATATTCGGGATATAATGGAGTTTTTCAAGTAGATAATAGAGTTAATCAAGGTTATAATGGTGTTAATTAGGGATATAATGGAGTTTGTCAAGGATATAATGGAGTTAGTCCAGGTTATAATTAAGTTAATCAATGATAAAATGGAGTTAGTCAAGAATATAATGGAGGTAGTCAAGTATATAAAGGAGTTAGTCAAGGGTATACTGGAGTTAGTCAAGGATATAATGGAGTTTATCAGAGTTTACTGGAGTTAGTCAAAAATATAATGGAGTTAGTAAAGGATATAATTGAGTTTATCAAGGATATAATAGAGTAAGTCAAGAATATAATGGAGTTTGTCAAGGATATAATGGACATTAATCAAGGATATAATAGAGTTAGTCAAGGATATAATGGAGTTAGTCAAAAATATAAATGTAGTTAGTTAAGGATAGTGTACTGGGGTATAATAAAGTATAACAAACCTGTATTGTACTAAGTAAACTATCCCCTCCATAGACTGGTTGTTGTTGTAAAGGATGAACGGTGGCAACCTCTTCAGTTAAATCATCTGGATAGATAGATAAAAGGATTGTTTACATATTTGAATAAGCATTTAATATAACAATATTTGGAATTGTGAAGACTACTGCCAGATTTGGGCAGATTCTATAATATTTCCGTCGAAAAAAAACACGATTTTAACTTAAGTTTCGAGGGTTTTATTCAATTTAATATGAACTATAAAATGTGCAAGTAATATTTTAAATTCTATGAAATTAATAAAATGTACTATCTTCCACATTTCTGATCAGATAAAGATTATTTTTTACCTACCTAGTCCATGCAGTTCAGCTAGAAGCTACCTACCTAGTCCATGTAGTTCAGCTAGAAGCTACCTACCTAGTCCATGTAGTTCAGCTAGAAGCTACCTACCTAGTCCATGTAGTTCAGCTAGAAGCTACCTACCTAGTCCATGTAGTTCAGCTAGAAGCTACCTACCTAGTCCATGTAGTTCAGCTAGAAGCTACCTACCTAGTCCATGTAGTTCAGCTAGAAGCTACCTACCTAGTCCATGTAGTTCAGCTAGAAGCTACCTACCTAGTCCATGTAGTTCAGCTAGAAGCTACCTACCTAGTCCATGTAGTTCAGCTAGAAGCTACCTACCTAGTCCATGTAGTTCAGCTANCATTAGTCAACATTGTAATATTGTTCCTAATTTACATGCATTTAACTTTCCTAGTAATTTCTTTCTACCTTACTTATTTGTCAATATTGTAATATTGTTCCTAATTTACATGCATTTAACTTTCCTAGTAATTTCTTTCTACCTTAAACACATTAGTCAACATTGTAATATTATTCCTAATTTACATGCATTTAACTTTCCTAGTAATTTCTTTCTACCTTACTTATTTGTCAATATTGTAATATTGTTCCTAATTTACATGCATTTAACTTTCCTAGTAATTTCTTTCTACCTTACTCATTAGTCAACATTGTAATATTGTTCCTAATTTACATGCATTTAACTTTCCTAGTAATTTCTTTCTACCTTAAACACATTAGTCAATATTGTAATATTGTTCATAATTTACATGTATTTAACTTTCCTAATAATTTCTTTTTGCTCTTAACTTGCGTTATGTTCCTATTATTGACCATTGTTCCTAATTCATATACAATATAAATGACTTTCTTTGCGCTTTTGTATGTTTCTTTCTTTGTTTCTTACTTAACAAACCTGTAGGCTGTACCTTCATGCGTTGATCATTATTTCATGTATTACGAATTACGTTACGTGTTCTTAGTGCTTGTATGAAACTGTTTTATTGTTCTATTGTTCTTTTGTTCTTCTTTATATGTTTCTAATATAGTTCTTCCTTTTTTGTTCCTTACTCACCCAACATTTGTGCTATTGCTTTATTCCCTTTTTTCCAAAAACGTATATTGTTCCAATTTTTTCTTTAGGAGTTTTTGTTCCTAAAATCCTAAATTGCTTAACTTAACTGTTTATGTTCCTAATTCTAAGTACCACAATTCTTCTTATCTATGATGTTAAAAATCAAAATTTCATTAGCGTCATTTATTTTGACCTCTTTTAAACATTGAAAAAGTAAATGCTGATTTGAAACTAGAAGTTTACCTTCATACAATCGGCCACCATGGAGTCTAAATCTGGAACACGTTTAGGTTTAGGTCTCCTGATTGATTATAATTCATTAATTACTTTTTACGAATAAAATCTATAGATAGAATGATAAAATTCCCCCCCACTTCTCTTCTTAGAAACATTTAGTTTCGCCAATTAATTGATAAAAAAATCTTCAATAGCATAAACCATTGCTTAGGATCCGGATCCGAAAAAATATGAGGCTCCGCATTCCAGAGCCTGTTGAAAAGAGAAATTATAATAAATTTCCTTATCTCTGAACGGTTAATCAAGTTTAATTATAAAAATAGCAACAAACAAACAGTAAAATAATTTAAAGATTATTCTTTGGTTATTTTTAAAGATATGTTAATTGTTTAATGTTCATGATTTGGATCCGGATCCATTTTTACAGGACGGATCCAGGATCCACATCAAAATGAAATGGATTCCAAGGGCAATGCATAGAACAAAAAAATATCTTTGACATTTGCTAAACAACTATTTAGATAAAACCAGATCCAAATCTGCAATGCATAAAATGAGTTTTAACGACCAGAACAAAGCTCAATTTGATTTTTTCTCTCAATTTCAACAACTGAAAAGTAATATAAAAACTTTTGGGTTATTATTAGGGGTACTAGGTATCTACTATATTTTTAAATGAAACATACACTACAGTGATAACCAGAAAACTGTAGAATAGGAAGACGACATCAAAGCAATACTGAAGTACATTTGATGTTTTTAAAAAACAAATAGTTTTACTACAGTGAATCCCAGATATATGATGTATTCTAGAGAGAATATATCTCAAGATATTGATATAGAGAATATATTTCCAGGTTGGATATAGAGAATGAGTTTAATATTTATATATCAATTGCATTCTTATTTTAGGGCTTTTAATTTACCTTGAATTAAAAATAAAAAGAAGTTTCTTCATAATTATGATAAAACTTATGAGAGGTCATATATCTGGGATTCACAGTAGTAACTTGTTAAATCACTAAGTAAGATTAATAAGTCTGTTTACATTGCACAATTGCTGTTGCTCATGTTCATTGGACTATTTAAAGTCTTAACTTGAGTCTAAANCAGATAAGTGATATCCGAGGTGCCTCATTTTCAGAGATAGCAAATTCCAATGTATAAAAATTTCAAATCCTGCCAAGTCTAAACTCTATGTAAAACACAAATTTAATAACAAAGGAAAACTTGTTTAAATGACGAAAAGAACGAAAACTAGTTTCATGACAACGACTAATTGATTCAGGTGGCACTTTCTTGGAAGTGGCATTTCCAAGTGAACTTCTATATATAAAATTGGCATACCCGATTTACAACGGTACACCTGATACATTCTTTCAAGCAAAAATTACGAAAATAACCATGGTTTTTCATATAGAACTTAATGCTTTCCAGATATAAGTGACTTGCGGATTTAAGATTTAAGCAACAGGAACAATGATGGACCATTGGACATATACAAATTTTACATTTTTCAGATAAAAATTTCTTGCTCATTGAAAGATAAAGGTTGATAGGGTCCTTTAATTAGCTGCATATGCAGCTAATTAAATGAGCAAAACAGGACAGCCAGGAAACAAGAAGATTGAAAAAATGATTATCTGCATTCTGCATTAAATACATGTATCAAATAATTTGTTTTATAAAAAAAATTAAAAATAAATAAATTGATAAATTTTAAAAAAGGTTGATAGGGTAAAGTTGTGACTCGGGCTTTGTGACTTTGAAGGGTCACTTGAATTTACGTACCAGTTCCTTTAAAAAAAAAAGCGATTTTCTGTTACAAAACCTGGGACAGATGATCACTCCGCCGTGGAGCCCGTTCTTTCACGTTCTCCTTCTCTTTCGGTTTTCGACCAAACATTTTTCTGAAAAACAAGAACTTGAGAACTC